GGGCTCGACTGTGGACCCTGCAGGGCTGACATTGCGGCCGGTGACAAGGCAGGACAGAGACGACTCCTCGGGCTCGGCTGCGCTCCCAGCAGGGCTGACATCGGGGCCGGTGACAAGGCAGGACAGAGACGCCTCCTCAGGCTCCGCTGCGCTCCCAGCAGGCGATGTGGTCTCCTGGGAAAGCTGGTCAGGAATGGTGCCAGCTTGGTGTGAACCTGGAGAGCACAGGGAGGGTTTGTGTGCAGCAGGGAGGGCTGGCAGCGCCCACCTTGCGGCTGCCCAACACCTCTGCTATAGCTGAGGGAGTGAGAATTCCTGCCTGAAATGCTCCATTCTAGGAGTCTGTCTAGGGGTATTTTCTGTCTAACAAGGGCAGCCCAAAGTGCTCAGCTGTTTCAGAGAACAGGGTTGTGATAAAATATGTTGCTTTTTGAGTTATGTATGTACACGCAGCTGTGTAAAGAGTGATGGTTTTGAGATAGTATTTGGCTCCATGCATGGGAGCACTGAGGATCTGAGATGCCCAGTGCTGCAAAAGCCTCGATGCCTTGACATCCTCTGGGAAAACATGCCCATATTATAGATCTGGTTCACCTGTTCCTAGTCAGAATACCTCTGGCTTCACAGCTAGACCCAAAGGCTGCTCTGTCACCCACAGCTTGGGCTAGGAATTGGTGGAGTATCCACCTGATCAGGCAAAATGTGGATTACCCTCATTCTGCAGTTCCTACTCGCCAGGGGATTGGGTTTGCCAACTTGTCTTTCAGGTCAGGGTCTGTGCCTCTCAGCTGGAAATGTCACATATAATACTGAAAGTCATGGCAAGGAGAGCCTCTCTGTGCCAGAAGGCTGTGCCTGCTTTCATGTTCTCTAGTGAGGGATGATTTAATTTATCTGTATCTAATTTAATGAGATGGCACAACTGACAATGAATGAACATGTCGCTGTGTAAATCCTCCTGTTCGATTAAGAGACCAGCAATTCTCCACTGAATTGTGATAAATGGAAATAAACCCCTAAGGAAATGCAAACTCACCTTCAGCAGCACTTGGCTCTGCTGCCAGAACAGCCAATCCTCTGGCCAGGTGGCTCTCCTGCATCCTGAAAACGGAAGTGTTTGTGATAGACATCTCCTGTATCATGTTTGGAAAGCTGGGAGTACTGGGTATCCCTGCCTCAGGTACACAGCTTTCTGAACCTCTTTTTCTCTCCACTCACACAATCGCAGGTAACAGTTAGAGGCAGCAGAGTATCACCAAAACACTCTTATCTCAGCAGGAAACTGCTCCCACTTCCAGCGAACAGACTCTTGCCGTTGCAGTGGCATCAGCACTGCTGGCAGGAGAGCTGAACATTGTAATGGAGCTTGGATGAGGGTTTTATGTGAGAGATGCCCACAAGATCAAGAAAACAGTTCATCTCCAGGAGTATTTTCACTATTCTTGTGTAAGACTGTAAGTCTGACAGTGTGTCAGTGGTTTGGTGTGCTTCTTTTCCGCGAACAGACTCTTGCCGTTGCAGTGGCATCAGCACTGCTGGCAGGAGAGCTGAACATTGTAATGGAGCTTGGATGAGGGTTTTATGTGAGAGATGCCCACAAGATCAAGAAAACAGTTCATCTCCAGGAGTATTTTCACTATTCTTGTGTAAGACTGTAAGTCTGACAGTGTGTCAGTGGTTTGGTGTGCTTCTTTTCCCTCGGAGCTGCATGTTGTCCTTACACAGACCCAATCCCCAGTTCTCCCAGTACCTCTGGTTTGCCTGCTCCTTTGGCAGCAGCTGGTTGGCTTTGGAGCCCTGGAAGTCATAGGGTCCACGAGGGTTGACAGCACTGGGAATGCTGAAGGAGCCCTCAAGCCTCTTCCTCTCCTTCAGGATGAATTCGTAGAGATCTCGGTTGTGCTTGCAGCAGAATCTCTGCAAGGCAGGAGAGCAGAGCTGTGAGCGTGGCCGTCCCACAGCAAACCCTTCCCTGCTCGTCCTTCCCACCACTTACAATTTCTTCCTCCTGGGATAGGGATCTGACATCCTCAGAGAAAGGGAATGGCCTCAGTGGGTCGCCACAGTACTCACACCTTAGCACAGAGTCCTCCTCTGCCTGCAGTGATGGTGGGGAGAGAGCAGGAAGGAGAGACTTGAGGTACCAGCACCCACATCCCTGTGTTAGTGTGGGGAATGAGGGCTCTGCTCAAAATACAACGTGACAAAGCAAGTAAGGGTGGTTACAACAGGTCTGTGACTGGGATATCTTGGCACAATTTAACTCAAACCATTAGATTCAGGGAAACACCGAAACAAAAAGTGAATTTGTGGTAAATAAATCGATAGATGTCTCCAAAGGAGGGGAATGACCATGGTATTTATGAACCTGCTCCTTCCCAGGAAAGCTGAGAGCACAGAACACTGTAGTTGAGGACTTTGATGTGTTAACCCTTTCAAACACATTGTGTAGGCTTTGGAGAGAAAAAGCTCCTGATGGCTGCAGTTGCGGGGAGTTTCTGAGGAGCCACCTGCACACAGAGCTGGGCAGATGCAAACCAGGGCAGGCGCAGGGTGTGTATTGAGCATGGGGACTGGGTGTCCTGAAACAAAATTGCCTTGCTCCCCACCTCATGCCTCAGATTAACTCTGTTTGGTGACTACATTGCTAAGGGTTACGGGAAACTGTGCCCTGCTTGTATTCTGTGACTGTACCTATTTATATATAATTTGTATCTGATTTAGGCAGAGGCCAAAACCTTCTGCTGGGACATTCCCAGCAGAGGACGCAGCAGTGGGGAGAGGTGCGCAGGCTCTTGCTGCCCAGGTGTTCACAATCTGCGCTGTTCCGGCAGCCTCGCGACTGAAAATCCCTGTCGGGAAAGGAATCCTGCGCCGGCTCGGCAAGGAGCGTTGGCTTCACGTGTCCTACACGGGACATCAGCAGCGAGGCAGGAGGAGCCGCGCGGGCGATTCTCCCAACCGCACTGACCTCGGGGTGCGTTTGCGCTGGTGCAGACTCGCGTCTGTATGCCAGGAGGGTGGGCAGCCCCGCGCG